GGGGGGGGGGGGGGGGGGGGGGAAATAATCACCTTGGTTCCTATGGTAAGTTTCAAATTAACTAAACAACTCTGATATTTTTTAAAATTTTAAGCACTTTTTTATTTTTAATTATTTGTGTGTTTCAGATGAAGCTATCCCCCATGCTAACTTTGGCTGAATAGCCTACCAGTTACTACCGTCTTCCCCTGTTTAGAATGGACGGTTATTATCGCTGTATTTCTGTATTTGGGCCAACTTGCAGTCTAAATACAGCGATAATGACTGTCCAATGTCCATATTCTATTTTAGGAAGCTTTCATGGTAACTATGTGATTTTATTTTTCCTTGCCCTTAATGATCATGACAAAATAGAATCATATTTTGGGAAATGTATTTGGGGCAACTTGCAGTCCAGATACGTTTCCCATGCCGATGGCTGTGGTGTGATTCAACACGATTGACACTCTTCCAACTTCGCCCGTCGTTCGCATCGCATCGGATCTTGGATCTTGGATCTCGTCGTGATGATGATGATGTGCAGACTCTGCAGAGTCTGCAGTACTGTGTGTTGTTCCATTTTCTCTAATGAGTTATATAATATATAATATATATGCCTTGAAATGTTTTTGATATGTCGTTTTCATTTTCTTGTGAAAGGTTTTGTTGCAGCTGCGATCTGTCATGTGGACCTGCAGCGGACCTCTCATTGGTTGGTCGCATTGGAGAGCGCAGCCCAGGCAGCCATTGACAGAGAGATTGGCCACGTGTTCCTGAAAGAGCAAGCAGCTCGACCCCGCCGGTGTTCTTCTGTCTGATCCTCAGGTTGCGTGGTAACTGTGGCGGTCCCCACGCAGTGATTCATTTCCTGAAAGGCACCTAACAAAATTAAGATAACTTGATTGTCAGATATAGGCATTTTTTTCTCCATTCTTTTCGATTATGTGATATATTACGCTACATTAGACTGGGTGGGCGGTGTGAACAAACTGCCCAATCCAGTGCAGTCCAGTGCAGTCTATTCTCTCTGTTGATCTGCGACAACATCTGTTGTTATGGCGAGCTTAGTTAAAGCAGGGATGACATTGTCTGCTGCGGTCCCCGCGCAGTGTCGGCGGCAGCCGGTTTCAGCGCCGTCTTCTTCTTGTTCGACCTCGACCACGGGCATCGGTTCTCTGCGGAGCCTTCGCTGTGCAGCACCGTCTGGTGATGCGTGCTGCTGTTTGCGGCAACGGAGGGGGAACAACGTAGCAGGCGCAGTTTGCCCCCCTCTGAAAACTCCGTTCCGGGGCGGGGAGGTCGACGACTCCTGGGTGAGACGTGCTGCTAGAGACCTTACGTGTCGCGGAAAGTCGCAAACTTTCCTCGGAGGGCTAAATGTTCGCGCAATCTCGAGCAACGACTTTCGAGTCGGTGTGAACATCGAGCTCGACAATGCACCCTGGAGAGTGATGGAGTTCCTTCACGTGAAACCGGGGAAAGGCGCCGCCTTTGTGAGGACAAAGCTGCGCAATTACATCACTGGCAACACGGTGGAGCGGACTTTCCGCGCAGGGGAGTCTGTGGACGAGGCGAGTGTGCAGAAGGATGTCAAGCAGCACACGTACGTGGAAGGCGATGTCCTTGTGTTCATGGATATGGGAACGTACGAAGAAACCAGAATAAGGCGCGCAGACATCGGTCCCAAAGCGCGATGGCTCTCGGAAGGCATGGAGTGCTCTGTGCTGACCTGGAACGACAAGGTGATCGACATCGACCTGCCGATCACTGTGCAAGTGAAAATCGCCGACACGGAACCGGGAATCAAAGGCGATACCGCCTCAGGAGGAACAAAGCCGGCGACCCTTGAAAATGGTGCTACAGTCAATGTCCCATTCTTCGTCAACATAGGCGACGAGATCCTTGTAGACACGAGGACGAGTACATACATGAGCCGAGCTTGATTCGATTCCATTCAATTCTGTTCAATCCGTCGGTAGCAGTAACAACAGGCCTTATAGTAGTATAGTATAGTATTAACTGACTTAGTGTTGAGTACCATGTACTGAGGAGAGAGCTGAAGTAGCTTAGTGTTTGACTATGCAGTACTGAACTAACTTAGTGTTTGACTATGGAGTACTGCACTAACTTAGTGTTAGACTATTCAGTGCTAAGGAGAGCTCAAGTAACTTTTAACTTAGTGTCGAGTTCTAAGTACTGCGAAGAGCTGAATGCCCAGAAAAAGGAGGCAAGGGTATCTGTGTACTACCGGTAGAGGGTGCTCCACCAAGTACTGCGTGTTCGATACTACGTGCAAAGTACTGCGTACTACACTCTCAACCAAGTACTTGTTGATGAATACTTAGTACAAAGTACCACGTATCTCAACCAAGTACTTGTTGATGAATACTTAGTACAAAGTACCACGTACTATGTGCCAACTACAGCTGCAAAGTACCACATACTAAGTGCCAACTATTCTCTCTCCAGGGTGCAAAGTACTATTCACTTAAGTTTGTGTTGTTAGATGTGTTAGTCCTAGCCGTTTTTGCTATAGCCAAGATTACTAACACAGAGCCATTGTAGAGTCCATTGAAGCGTGAACACACTGCGGAGAGGGAGGGGAGGGGAGGGGAGAGGAGGGGAGGGGAGGGGAGAAGAGAGGAGAGGAGTACAGCGGCACACCAGCCACGTGCAGTGGTTGTTTGTTGTAAGCCAAGTTGATGCTTAGCCTTTTTTTTTTTTTTTTGAAAAAAGGATTCCATCGCTGACATAGGACAATGTAAAGAATTCCACAGCAGACATAGAGCAGAGAGAGGAGTGGAGAGGAGGAAGGGAGGAAGGGTGGGTGCAATATGTTATGGAGCTGTCGAGTTCTGTACTTGGAGAATTTTACGGTTCCTTTGCCCTGAGTCTCTGGTTTTTACTTCCCCCGCCCCTCTCTTGTTTGTGTCACGGCACCGTTTCCTGTTGATGTGACCGCTTCTACGGTCTACCCGAATGTGCAGTCAAAATTTTGTTTCTTGTTAAAAGTTAAAACTTAAAATTTAATTTACCAGGTTTTTACCTTGTATTTTTTTAACGTTATCTTTATTATTTTGAAAATTGAAAGACATGACCATAGTCTTTTGAACTTTTTTCTTTCTTCGGGAAGGTATAAAGACCTGGAACACCGCGTCCTGCCTGTAGCGGTTAGACTTGCCTCTTGAGGCCAAGGTCGCTGGTTTGAATCCGTCGTGCGTGCACGGAGGAGGATCTGCACATGTATGTATTCAGAAACCCTGGATTCGGAAACTAACCGAGTGTCCAGATCTGATCTGAACCTTTTTTTTTTTTTTTTTTTTTTTTTTTGCAACTACCTAGGCTACCAGCCGGGCCGCCTGGGTCACCCTATTTTTCTGGGCGCCCCGGTCGTCCAAGGACCAGGGAAGGTCCCAGCCAAAAAAAAAAAAAAAAAAAATCCAAAAAATCCGAAAAAAAGCTATGTTATGTAGAAAAATAAACTGAACAACTTTTGCCTCAGGGTCATATCGAAATTCTTTACCAAATTTAAAATAAAATTTTAAATTAAAAAATAATAATTATTTTTTTTCCTCTTTTTGGCCCGGCCGGGAAGTGTACCCGGGCCAATCTGGTAGCCTAGGCAACTACGCTATAGTCTTCTCTCAAATCTTTCATCGTCTTTCAAATTCTTTCAATTCACCTTCACTACCTACCAGAGTCTCCGTCTCTGGTATAAAAAAAAAAAAAAAAAAAAGAACCTTCACTACCTACTTACCACTACTCTAATCCCCTGTACAAGCCTTAGGATCTGATTTGAACTTCGTGCGTGCCCAGGAAAAAGAAAAAGAAAATGAAAAAGACTTGTGGGAGACCTTGCACTTTATGCTACTTTATCCTGTTTGTATGTTTTGGGATGAAAGGTAGATTGCTGATGCCACTGGGTGATCATTTGTAAACCAACAGTCCCCTGTGGGCCTAGCAACACTGCCTGCCATCACAATCCCCTATCACCTTTTTCTGGTACCCGTCCAGGTGCATCCTGTCTGATAACTGGGTGTAGCTCAGTTGGTAAGGCATTCAAGCGGCACTCAGGAGGTCGTGGGTTCAACTCCCATTTGTCCCATGGTAATAAGGGATAATCCACCATATCCTTGCTCAGGCGAAAGTGAATGAGCCCATCTGGGATAGGGTAGGCTTGCACATTGGCAGGTCAGCACAGGTCGAGCAGCGACGGCTCGATGTTGTGCAACAACTCAGCAACCGTCCGGTTTTCGCCCAAACGATGCGAGTCTTCTTTTGTGCGACACAAAAAGCAAGTAGGGAGATCAAATCATTCACTACCTTACGAAGCTCACATAGATGCAACCTATCATCAAACTTCACCTTGATCAGTAGATCAACACAAAGGCCGAGGTCAAACTTATCCAAAAAAACACGTGATACCAGGTGTCGTAGATACGTTCTGGTCGACTTGCGAGAGAAATCTTTCACAGTATTGTACAATTGCAAGCAAGAGCGCATGCCAGTGTTGTCACCCGGGGATCCCCGGGGCCTGAGCCGGGGTTGGGGTTTGACCCCCGGACCCCCCGCCAGGGGATCCCCGT